GGGCAGAATTTGAACTCAGCTTGCCGATTCTACTTCCCACACCAATGTTATCTGTATATCTGAGATTCACGCTCTCTTAGAAAATAACAGAAAAAACTTTAGTCTTATCTTTAATAATGCCACATTGTGGATGGAAATAGCTCGACAGCACTGATAATCCCAAGCAGAAATAAAACTAACACTTAGTGCCTAAGTAAATTTGAACCACATTTGTATAAAGACATATCTGATATTATCTGAAGTTTCTCAAAACAATGTAACAATTCATATTCTATTGGATATGCATTCATATTATTGAATAATGATAAGTGTATTATAATTAAGAATTAAGTCATATCCTATTAGATATGAAGCACACATAGTATAGTGGATAAAGACGTTAGTTAGATCCAGTGACAGGACCCAAAAGAGTGTGAGTTCAATACCCGGTTAAGGCAGTGGAGAACTTGGAGAGGGAAATTAACGGGAGATAACCGATAACTGACATCCATTAAACATGGCATGTGGAACTAGAACAGTCTACCCTAGTGAGCGAAATAAAGGGTTCAGTTCAATATTTCAACCACCTGAAGAAGGCCGAAGTATACAACGGCTGAAACATTGTTATAAATATGACAAAGATGAGGAGAATAGTCTGAATAATGTCATTAACATATTTACATGAAGAGACAACAAAGATATATATATATATATATATATATATATATATATATATATTAACCATACACACAGAAGATTTGAGTTTGTTTGTTTGTTTGTTTTTTGTTTTTTTTATGAAGATGGAATAGAGTGTGAGAGAGAAAACAAATCTTGTCTAAGGTCAAACAAATGGCCATAAATTTAAACTTGAGAAGAAAAATGTTTCATGGGGCTTGTAAGAAAATTAATTTGACTTTTCTATTTCTAGTCAGGCCTTTTTCATAAATAAAAATGTTTTTTAACACAAGTTAACCAAAAATGAATAAGACCAAATTGTTGCTTGATAAGAAATGCTGGTAATAAGTGTAGATACGTTTTTTCAACCATTTGATCCAAGAGCTGAAATTTTCCATGGGGTTAATGGTAAACTATTGTTTTTGACATTTCTTTTGTGATGTCAGTAAACACTCGTTGCCACTTTTGTAATGTCAATGAATACTCGTTGTCACTTTTGTAATGCTAGTTGTAATAGAGACTTTGTAATTGCAGATACAACTATAGTAACGCCGTTGAACAATACTGGTGTCAGATGCCTTTAAATAACACTCACACTAATAGTACTTGCTTGAAAATACTTGCTTGAAAAGTAACCACCGAATAGTAATCCGTATAGTGATCACTTAGGTGCCATGCTAATTCCCATGTATAGATTTTGTTTACCATCACGTGATCTACTTATTCAAAATGGGATCGTCTGTGTTTGCTCTCTGGCAATCTATGTTCAAACTCCAGTGTTGGCAGTGACACTTTATTCCTATATAACCTATTTCTCATTTGAGAAATTGGATTCTAGCAGGAAAATAAATTTTTAAAAACCCTTTATTTAAATTTAACCTCATCAAGCTCTTATTATAAACCCATTTTCATGTTGGGGCTTCTGGATTTTTAAACATATTTTCCCTTTCTAACTATACAACATATAAACAGTAAACAAAAGACTTTATCAAACAGAGAAAGCAGTTTCAAATTAGGAACAAAAAAAGAAAACAGCAAAGTCATGAAAAATAAAATAAAAGCAGTAAATAAAGCCAATTAATGATTTGCCTCAAAGTAGAGCAATAGAAAATATCTAATTATCTAAATTGAAAAACAAAGAAACTAATTGTAATGTAAATTTGGAGTTTATAACTTTGTAAAAAAAAAAAAAAAATGATGTTCATAAATTATAAGAGAATAAGAAAGAGTGAAAGCCCATAAAGGATAGACAGTCTTATTTACCTACATTGGAGTATAACACTCACCTTTTATCGAATAACATGTTTATCAATGAGTAAGCCTATCATTCAAATACTGTGAGTTGATTGGTTATTCATGAAACTATATTTGATGTTTGCTTCACATGTTTATGAATGGATGAGAGTCCTTAGTAACAGAATCATTTTGACAACAGAAAAGTTCAACTATCTGTCCTGGCCCTCTCTCCCAGTATTTTTGATTTTTGGACAACGGACAAGTGGATTTAACTAATAAACTTTGACAAGCACAATACTTATTTCCCAATTATGATTCCTAAAAGGCTTCAAGCATTTGTCAGCCATTTTTTTAACTTCTCTTTTTGTGGTGCTGTGGGTATCAGTGGAATGCAGAAATGATGTAACTATTATAGCAAGGAGAATCAAAGAAATCAACTTTGAGAAAATGAGGGGACAATTCCGTTGAAGAAAAGGTTTTTTTTGTTTTTTTTAGAAAAAAAAAAAGAAAAGAAAAAACGATTACATTTAACGAATGAATAACAAGAGAAAAAAGTCTGTATAGAAAAATTAATAGATTTGGCTTATTTGTTCTTTTTAGTTTTTCTGTATGCTGATTTGGTCTTTAATAAAATATTCCTGATTTTATTTTCAAATAAAGAAAGAGGAGGAGGAGTTATTGCTTATGATTAAAAGACATTATAATATTTTTCTATTGCTCTTCAAATTGAGCTGTGACCATGAGCAGCAAATCAATTTAGAGGAACCTCAACTGAAGCTGTCATCACCGTTTGCAAACATAAATTCTATAAGCTTCACTACTTAAAAGGTCATTCTATTCACTTATTTGGCTTTAATTAGGCAGAGACTTCTAACAGGTAAACATGTTATTAGTGGTCATGTAGACAATACTGAAGACATTTTCTTTTTTTGTTCTCAAGCTGATAATTAGCGGATATATTTTCAGGTTGCAACCCAATGCAAGTTGGCAGATGAAAGTGCACTCAATGTGAATATTTAATTTATTAACAAAATATGCAACATTCTCTGCTGCCTATCAAGGATCAAAGATGTGAATGAAGAAAAAAGGAAAGATATATATGGATGAAGAGAAGGGAAATGATTTGAAAAATTAGCTGTAGAGGTTTTAGTATCAAAAAGTAATGGGAACAAGACGGGGTGGATGGGAAGTGTAACAGTTGTGAGTGGTGCTTGGGAAATTACTTGCAAAATTTTTCAAGATGGGAAAATGAAGTGCATTTGAAAAGCAACAAAGAAAATTGCAGTGTTTCTGTAAGATGTGATAAGTGAGAGGTTGGATGCTGATGATAGAAAGAGTAGTTATACAAATCAAAAGATCAACTAACCAAATTAATATTTTCAAAAGAAATTGGTAGGAATTTCATTGTTAAATATCTAGGATTTCTAAATTTAAAATTAAATTAACAAAAGCAAATATTAAATAAAAAGAAGTGGGGGCAATGGATTAGTTGTTTTCAAAGTTATGAGAGTCGGATTTTGTGATCTTTACCCAAGAACATTACCCAACATCATAGTGACCATTTGAAATGGTATCAAACTTTTTCTTTCTAAAATGTTCAATTCAAAATTTTCTGTGAATTTGGTTAACAATTAAAACTCAGGCCACCATTTTGGTAGGTCAAATTTGTTTTTTCTCATCATCAATGTCCAATGTCCAGCTGTGAATGGTATCCAAGGTGAGAAGTGAGAAAGAGAGTGAGAGGATAGATTGAACAGTGAGAGGAATTTTTGAAAGGAAGAAAAAAAAAGAAGAAAGCAATATGAACAATCACACCCACACATACAAAACAACTGGATTAATCTAAGCATAGTAACAAGAATGCAAACTATACTGTAGCAGGGAGGGGGTTGCTGAGAGAACAATATAATCTGAATAATCTTCAGTTCTTAATAAATTCCATTTTTAAAGTCAAGGAACCAATTTTGAACAAATTTCAAAATGCAGTGAGAACAATGTTGTAACAACTTTTAGAATGTTCATTATTATTTTTCAAAGCTGATATTAAAATCCCATTGATTGAATGTGGATTTTATATGTACAAAATTGGTCTTGGCAATTAACCCTTTGGCTTTTAATCAACTGAAAAAAGAAACCCACACTTTTTGTCATTTCTCATGGTGCAAAGAAAAGTGGATGAATGCCAATTGTCTTTTCTGGCATTTAAACAGAGATGAATTACAAGAACATTTGATGTTGAATACATATTCATTATTCATCAAAACTGCAGAATATCAATTTTCATTTAGTTGCAGAGATGAGATATTTTTGTTTCTGCTTTCAAAACATTACTTGTCAGCAAAATAGAACTGGCAATATTTGACATTCAAATGAAAAAATGTTTCCAGAGAAGATACAAAACTGATGGAAATAAATGTATAAGCAAATTGGGAAAATGTAAAATTCTTTGACATAAAAATAAAAAGTGGTAGAATGTTTTCGCCATAGTCAAGAAAGCTCCTCCTTGATAAGAAACTTCACTGTAATCCCTGCACCAATATTTCCTGTCAGGCTAAGTGACTAGATGATATTAACAATGGCTATTTTGTTTGCATTGTTGTTGCCAAAGAAATGCAAAAGGGAAGAAAAAGGAAAAAAAAAGAAAAAAAAAAAAGAATCAAGAGCAAATATTAAAAGTGACAGAAAGAAAATCCAGTTTCAAACACAGCAACAAAAAGACAGAGGAGGAAATTTGGAAAATGAGACTGTTTGCACACACGTACACAATTATGATCTACAAAGTGAAACATCTAATTCCAATACGCAAATCATTCAGTCATTGCGAGCCAATATATGTTCATGATGATTATTTTGGTTGTTGTTACATTTTTTCTTTTTTTAAAATTATATCAACAAGCAATCACTCTCACTATCTCCTCAAAAGAAGACAGCAAATGAAAAAAAAAAAATATGAAAAATCTGTTGACAGATGCCAATCAGAAAAAATGCATGGAATCAATTCAGAAGCATGCACACTCACACACATCAACATTAAAGGGATGAAGAAGAACATGAAAATGAGAAAGAGAAAATAGAAAAAGACATTTAAAAACATATCAATGTTAACTTACTTTTTGGGATCTCCATACTCTGGCCACGGACGAGCTGTGTCATACTGGTCCTCCTTAAAAAATTTAAAGAATGGCAATTAATTTTGAGAAAATATCTGCAGGAAATGTTAACCAATAAAAACATGCACACTCAATATGTAGGGAAAAATAATTATATATATATATATTCATATTTTTTTAAATGCACACACAAAATATTTTCATTTGTGTAACAATTTTATAGACATCAAACTAAGATTATAATTACTCCAACAAAGAATTTTATTATCTCCTCCCCTATCTAAATCAATGCTATTGAACCCAAGTGTTGTAAGTTAAAGTAAGTTATGTTTGCAGAAATTAAGACAAACATTCCTAATTATTGAGAAACTTTACCAAAATAACTGAGCAAACCTCAGACAATGTATGTGATCATCTAAATAAAAAAATACATACATACATACATACATATATATATATATATATATATATATATAACGACTAAATTAATTTAGCGTTTGAATGAATTGCCACTTTTTATTTGATTTTATTCAAACTTCTAAAACAAATTATTGTTACTATTCAATAATTCTTTTAGACCAATATCTTCATCCTTGTTTTATTCTAACATTTTGATGGAAGCTGAAAGTCAAAAAAAAAAAAAAAAAAAATCACTGAATATTAACTGAATTATTTTAGGAGAAAGATCAGTGCTGCAGCATTTGGATAGCTAATCTAAACTATTTCTCTAGATAATGATTAGAGGATGAGATAATCTAAACGTAAAAGTCTGAAAAAAAAAAAAAAAAACAATTTATAGACGTTAATATTTAAGAAGTGAAATTAAAGTCATCATTTCTTCACACTCACCAAATTTGTACAAATTGTATAAATGATAATGAATCAATTATTTTAGATAACTATCAAAATTGAAAAACATTATCTCACCTGAAATGTGATACTTCACAAAAATAGAAAGATAACATTCATAACAACTGGGAGAATATTTATGTTAAAAACAAAACCAGAACAAACTAAAACTTGCAGGCAAACTCATCTATCTAAATGTCTTGATTATATTATTAAGAAAAGCAATAAAGAAATGGAGGGGGAGATAAAAAAAATAAAAAAAGCACACAAGTGACTGGCTGAAAGGTGTTAAAAAGCCAAACAGAAGTGTTCTGGAATGTGTAAAACAAAAACACGGTTTCATGAGATTAGCCACTTAATAATGGAGTGGCATCACAGACATTTGTTGCTAAATACAAGACAACCAGAAAGCGGTCAGGTCTTCAATAATAATAATAATAATAAAAAAAAAAATGATAAAAAATTGAAAATAATTAACTTTCTTTTCAAAGTTTTAACAAATAAAACATTCAGTTAAAAATGTAAGTAAATTAACATTTGCTTTTTATTTAAAAGAAAAAAAGAAAAAGAGAACTTTCTCCAAATGGTTCATGTATTTCTTGCCTGATTTAGTAATTTTTCAGAAGAAAATTTCTTCCGGATTTATATTTTCCATTCCTTTCAAGTAACAATTCCTCAAATTTGAAACCACTTATGAATCATACTAGAGAAATCAATGTTTTTTTTTGTTTTTTTTTTTTAAAGTGCTGGTAAATAATTTCTGTTTGAATTTCTAGGATGAGGAATTATCACTATTTACAGCAAGACTGGTGTCCTCATTTTTATTATGTTTCAGCTAATGTGCACTTTGGTCTTCTTTAGGCGTTTTAACTAAGCTCTTTATTTAATTCATAGAGATATATTGTTCTTGTTCCACTGTCCAGGTCTAGGGATCATCTTGTCTTGTTCTTATTTAGTACTGTTCAGTTATTGCTCACCTTAATCTAAAGCTGTACTACATGGCTCAGAGATTGAACTCACAATTACTATGTTAGCAAATTCACAAATAAATGCTTTAATCCACTGACTTAACGTTGCATGTGATATCCCTATACATGGACAGTGGAATGAGAACAATCTAACCTGTAAATTAAATAGTGTTCAGTTCAAAATTACCTGGAAGTTATCTGGGCTGACAGATGCCTGAAAAACATTGTGATAATAACAACAAAGATGAAGACATTAGTCCAACTGTAAATAACACAGGTAAATAGATCAAGAAAAATGAATGGCTACTTGGAAACAAGTAAAGAAGTCATTTGAAATACTGGCTTAAGACTTTGACAGGAATTTCCCATACATGTTACCAAATCAAAGCAAGAAATCTTTTAGACCCCTTGAAGATTAATACAAACCTCAGGAACAAAGAGAATAGGCATTGAAATATTTCAAGAGTTTCTCTCCAAAGAAACAGAAATGCATATATACAGGGTGTCCATAAAGTCAGGGGGTACTTTCAAAAGAGAAAAGCAATTGCAGCACTAATTAACAGATAAGTGGTTGCCACCCATAGTTAATGAGCTCCATTAGCCATTTAATGAATCATTTTTGGAGAACTGACTGAACCTCCCAAATTCAAGGACAATGCTCTAGTGATAGTTAATTTTCACATTAAAACCATCAAAGTACCGAAGATGACTGTATAAACACCCAGCAACAGCAGCATATTCTGCTTGTTACCATGGTCCAATTCCTGTATGTGCGTGTTAGAAGCAAAATACAAATTGTGACTTTGAATAATAAACTGACAAAATGACAGCCAAAACTGAAGCTCTAAAAAGTCAATATTTCCCTGTTGTGAGACATGCTGTAGCGTAAATTGTCATTCATGAAGCAAAACTAAATGTTTTGTTGGTACCAAACTATTTAATCATTCTCTTCATTTACTTCCCACCAACTACCCTCTTGCCAACCAGAGCAACAACCTTACAAGACAACTTATATTCTCAAGGGTCTAATGTGGAACTTATCTGACATATCCATAAAAAAAAAAAAAATCATCAGATGTATACGCCAAATTGTTATTTGTTTGTTAAATAAATAATCTAAGTTGGACAAATTTTCTATTTAACATTTGTGTCTCATGCATTTTGCACAATGACCCATCAATCTAAATGCCTTTTTTTCTAATATATTGATAACACTGAACAAAAATTTGAAAACCTGATTTACAAGGGCCAGTTTCTAAACATGAAATTTTAATTTTCTGAATTCAAGTAAAAGTTGCAAAGAGAAGCTTTGGAAATGTTTTGATAGAAAGAACTGTACTTTACATTAAAAGAAACACAATGACATTTGTAAAGTCCAAGGACTTATTTAATGTTCTTTATGGATAGAAAGAAACTTAATCAACCAAGGTTTTCAAGTTGTTTTAGACATCACCTATGCACATTCTAATACACAGGTTCTGAATTCTTGGTGAAGCATATTAGTAGGTCCTATTTTTAATCCCAAATTTTCAAAGCCAGGAACAAATTCTTGCCTGTTGATAATTGGTTCTCAATAGAAGTGGTGTATATATGTTCTTAAATATGAAGCACTAAAAATGGTACCTTCACAATTGATCCAGCAACAATTTTCTCTTATGATAAAATGTTTTTCATAATATTAATTTGTTCTCCCAAATGGCCAGCCCTTTTGTATGTGACAACTTCTAAAATTCTAAAACTAGGATAAAATAGTAGTTATAGGATAAAATAATAGTTATGGCAACAATCTGAAAGGTAAATAGGTTTTTTCAGGTCATCAAAATAATCACCTGTCACATAAAAATGAAAAGGACATAGATGCTGATGTTTTAGTCTTAAAAGGATAAAAAAAAAAGTTAAAAAAAAAAAAAAACTTGCTAAAAATTTAGTTTTTAAATAGAGTATTTACATCATGTCTGAATTTCTAGATACATGTTTAGTAAATTGTTGTAAGAGTGTTACACATTAATGTCAAATGTTTATATAGAAATTCACTTCTAAAGACTATAAACAAAACCCCCAAAACTGATATCATTATTAGAAAAAGTACAAACAGAAATCATATTAGTCTGCAGGAGTACAAGGCCCTCTATGTTGGTATTGGTTGCATACCAAACCATTACTTACTATCTTCAAATGTAGAGAAAGTTAGATATTAATATACTTTTCCCTTTATGTATTCCTCTAACAAATCTGTGAGGGTAGAACAGTATCAATAATAAAACTTTGTGACATGACTCAAACATTTAAAGTAATCAGAAAATTGAAAAAAAAAAAACAAAGTCATTGTCAAGTCAGTTTGATTTTATAGTCATTGTCAATTTTATTATTCAATTCCAATCTTCAGTTGATATCTAAACATTATGAATATTAAATTTTGCTATTTCGCTGAATGATATCAATAATTTCTCTTTTATGACTTTTTCCTCAATAATTAGCAGGGGAATTTTTTTTTTTAAATTGATTTTAATTTTTATGATAAACAGTTCAAAATCATAAGTATCAAATATTTAGCTGGTAATTACAATAGAAAAGATGTATTTGTTATTAAAGAGTTTGACTAGAAGACAACTATTGTTTATTGTTGTATGAAAAATGCTTATTTGTTTTCAACAATTCTGCCAATTGGTAATTTTTATACAAATTGGAGAACATTTCTTGGATTAAAATTGCTTAATTTCCTTGGACTTATCGAATCAAACGAAACTTTTGCAGACAATATATTCTAGACTAATTGAGGCAAGTTCACCAGGAAATTTGTCCTATGAATCGTTATGTTATTTAGCAAGGAAATAAGCTGAAGATGAGCCAATGTTTAAAAAATTTTGTGGCCTTTCAATAACATTAATAGATCATCATAAGAGCATAAGTCATAGTTGAGAATTAAAAGAAATGAAAAATTCCTGTTATCCAAATTTAGTGAATATAAATTATGTGAATATTAAAGCCAAGAAAAAGATATAAAAATTTATGGCTATTTTCAAAATAAATCTGTTATGCCCTCATTTTTTTTTTCATCTTTTACTTCAAGCAACGATTCTATCTCTGAGTGACATGACTAAATGGCCTCTTATGTTACTAATATTTGTGAGTCAATTCATCTGTCCACAAGAAGTTTGTTCTCTCTCTCTTGTGTGTGTGTGTGTGTGTATATATATATATATATGATTTGAAACTAATGTTTAAAGAATACTGAT